GAGCAATCTCAGTGCTAAATAAAACAAAACAATTTGTGAGAGTTCAACAAGTGTCTTCAGGCCCAGTTTCATTAGCCTGGTTTGGTTCATGGGCCCTTTCAGCATCTGCAAGACCAGGAAGTAACAGAGCCTCTACAAGGCTGACTGGCTGTCCAGGGATCTGCTCTTGCAGTTGCACTTCTGGTTCCACAAGGAAAGATACCACGTGGCTCCCAAAGGAAAATGCGGTGCTGTTCCAGAAAAGGGGCTGCATGCTGCCTCCTAAGATTGCTAAGTGCTACTACAGGCTCGTGCTGCTACCTCCATTCATGTTTCTTCTTTCCATGGAAATCCATCAACATCGAGTCCAGATACCAAGGCCTCAGATCCCACTGAGCCATTCACTCAGAATGGTTACTCAAAATAACAAAGAGGTCCACTGAACTCTCTTCCCTTCTGATCCTCACAACACCCTTGATTTTTCCCTCTATCACCAAATTTAGGACAAGTTTTGAAACTATTATGCTTTACATATAAATTCTCAACAGCATTTTATTCTTGACACCTAGGGCAATCTTTGACACAAGATGAGAATTTGCAGAATCGGGCTGTTGTTGTTGGCAGAGGTCATTCTTTCTGAGGGTCTAGCAGAGGGTCCCTGTAATATCAGTCATGCTGTATTTATTCAGAAATAACAATTCAACTATCTCTTAACAAAGCTCCCTTTTCAATGTCTTCACCTTACAAATGAAAATTTGAAAATTCAAAAACTTAGGAATGCATTTTTAACTTACTCATTAGGTCCAAATTCAGATAAAAATAGGAAAATATTAAGTGGTAAAATAATATAATTCATTAGGAAGTGCTAGTCCATCTAATCCCAAACCCAATAAAACAATGACTCATTCCTAACATCATTATAACATTTCTAACTTCAGTTCATCTTCTGACTTCACAAAAATAAAAGTTCTGCATTCCACTATGAGCAAAGATACTTCATTCAAAAATAGTCGATGGAACACCAATGTATATCTTTTCAAATGATGTTATTTTCAACATTGCTAAAATTTACCATTACTTAAAATATAAGTAGATTCTAGAGAATAGTCCTCTGCATCTTGCAAATGTATATATACTTCTAATCTAATGCTCACAGGTCTTCTCTGCCTTCCATGGAAAAGAGAACTATTCCACATTAACCCAGTTCAAGCATCTCAGGTTTCAAAACTACCCATGTCAACTTGAACTGAAGGGATCAAGGCCTTTAAACTTATACTGAATTCTACATGAAAGCCCTACAGTCTTAGGAGAGATTAAGGTGATAAAGTCAAGGAAAAGGTCAAGGAATATGAACCGAATGAGGCACAGCATTGAGTGCATTACACACAAGTAGTCATCCAGATCCATTTGTATTTACATTCAGTGTTCATCTGCAACAATCTGTTTTTAGACTGGCAAGACAACTGGCCAGGCAGGAATTCTGGAGAGATGGTACAGTAGGCAGAGAACCACATATACTGCTCATTACAGGAAATTTAGAGGCATTTTGAGAGTAGTTTTGCATACAGTCTTCATACCTGGTTGCAGATGAAGGACATTTAAAACCTGCTTAAGATGAGATGTAACTGTACTTCTTATCTTAAAGCTGCCCATTGCCTCAGTCAACCACCATGAGAACTCAGAGAAGGTTAAATTATTACCAGCCTGGTTTACACATGAGAAAACAGAGCCTCAGAAAGGTTAAGTGAGTTTCCCTCAACAATGTGGCTAGGAGGTATCACAATCCATTTTTTCCTTACAAAGATCCTAAGAGCTATTTTCAGGACACTTGTAGACAACAACGGAGATGCACTTGATATGGTCTAGAAATGAAAATTAGTCATCTTGGCCCAGTGAATCTTCTGAAGTATTATAACAGCAACTTAAATTAACCAGTTTGTGCTATTAAGGCAAAGCTTCCATGTCATAAAGTGTATGTTTTAATTGTTTAAAAGGTTAGATCATAAACAAGCTGTATTTAGAGAGTAAAATACTAGTGTAATTGTACTCTAGCCCAGTAACATCCTTCAAATACTCTCATCATGCAACAGATGAGGTTCTTTTTTTAATACAAGATTTCAGGTACTATTAAAAAGATCCTAAATTTAATTTCACTTGGATTTTTAAAATAAAATCAACAATGCAGATGGTATCCCTTGAAGAAATGCTTTCTCAAATTTTCCTGCAAGCAAAACACACCTAATACAGAATGGAGATGGCATTTGTCCATAATGAGGCCTCAGAATGGAGCAATTAAATCAAGTTGAAGGTTATTATTTATCTACTAAAAACTACCTGGCATGTTTCTGCTTCAGGAAGTTAGTGACCTTTTGAAGCTACAAAGCATTTCTGTACATCAAAAGCATTTTTTATCTTAAAAGAACATTACAATTTAGTTAAATTTGATACTCACAGGCTTAGTAAGCTACAACAGTTAATGAATGTATTTGATAATATAATAACTGAATGGTAAAATAACATTTTTATCTTTGTCTGTTTTTTGTATTTTAGGGAAGGGTCTACAAGATGCTCAGGATCTTACTACTGGATCAGACTTGTAGTGATCCTCCTTTTTGCAGCCTCCCAAGAGCTGGGATTACAGGCTCGCGCCACCACACCCAGTCTCAATTGCCCTCTCAGTGTGCCCCGGGGGCAGGGCTGGCACAGCATGCTGGGGATCGAACCCCTAGCCCCATGCGCCTGCTTGCAGGCACTTTAATCCACTGAGCTATGTGGCCAGCCCAACATTTTTATCTTAATACCAAGCTGAATTGCACCCAATGTCCTGATGGCAAGATTATCTATGAAGTTGTTTCAGCCTCCTGGGGACTCCAACGTTTGTCCCTTTATATGGCTATGCTCAGGAAGGGAAGGAGATTACCAGGTACACAGTGCCTAAAGCAACATAATGTTGCTTTAATGTAAGGATATGAAGCATGCTTCAAGTATGTGTGTTCTTTTCATATATAGTTTAATTTCTCAGTTTAGAAAACTCTTGTTTTAAAAAGAGCTGGTCTGCATTCTCAGTTTCTCAGTATTTTTATGTCCAGCTGGCCTTTCCTGGTCTCTACATATCTCTGGTATCCAAGTCATCTGTAACTCCTATAGCAAGGAACAGGAAACTGTCACCCTGCATTATTTCTGATGTCTTACCAACCTTCTTGCCGAGTTCTGACATAGAAAAGACAATGCAGAGGTATTTATTGACAACCTGAAGCTCAGTGTGGGAGATGTCCCCAGTGTCCGAAAAGGGAATGCCAGGGAGGTCACAGATTGATTTCTGAAATTCATAGAAATCTCAGAAAAGGGCTCACCTCTGCTCCAGGAAGCAAACAACTCAGCATAACATATTTATTAACCTAGAAAGTTTTAGCTATAAATTCAGTCTTGCACTACATTCTCAGAACCTTCCCCTTTCCCTGAATCATATTGCTTATTCTCACACTTATGTAGCCTTCATTTATACAGAATCTCAGGGTCAAAATAGACCGTGAAGGTTAAGTTATTCAACTTTTGGGCTACCCTTCCCCCTCTCTTGGTTTTCTCTATCTCCAATGCCCCAGCTCCCTTCTTCTCATCCTTTTTATTATTTGTCCTCCTCCTCTTTGCTAGGAAATTACTGCTGCCAATAGAGTAGGTACAGGTAAGATAATGGGCACTCCTGGGCATAAATAGTAGAACCAAGATATGTTGGCCATAAAAAGAATAGTCTATGAAATAATTTGAGATCCAGTATTAACTATCCCTAAGGATTTCCCTAACCTCACAGTCATTTACCTTCTTAATATATCAAGGTAAGAGGTAGCACTGACTTCTCTGTTGACATAAAGAATGAACAAATTGTTAACTAGCCAAATAAGTGAGATATTTAGATACTATCACTCTCCTTTCAAGTAGAGAATTAAGAGATCAGAGCCATTGGTTACAGACACCTTATTCAAGTCAGTAATATTCCTTTGTCCTAATTTAGCCAGTCATAGTAAGTGTAATAGTTTGTGTCTAGATGTCTCCCTAAAGTCTCATGCAGTTCCAGGTTTTTTTTTTTTTTTTTTTTTTTTTAGATAACTGGGGATTTTTATCCTTTTTTCTTTCTTGCCAGGGATTTCTTTATTTTGCTGGATGGTTAAGACCAAGATAAAGCAAGACCTATAGAACATGAAACAGGGTTTTTTTTTTTTTTTTTTTTTTTTTTTTTTGGTGAGTAAATCTAGAGTTCCTGATTGATACAAGGTCCAATGCTGAGATTAAGGGTGAGTGCTACACCTGTCCTAGGGCAGGTAGCCTGAAAACAATATAGGGGACAGAAAGAGGGCTGTCTCTCCTTTCTTGTTGCTTTTTCTGTCTTACACGAACATGAATTGTTACCCTTCTTCCAAGTGCCAGCCTGCCTTAGAGCCAGCCGTTATGGACTAAAACCTCTACAAACTGTGAGCTAAATAAATCTTTCCTTCCTTAACTTGGAGTGTTACGTATTTTGTCTCAGTAATGAGAGAAAAGTAACTAAGAAAATAAAAGGAAAGGGAGAGTTTATAATAATACAGATGAGTAGAAGACAATTTTGGAACCTGGATATTTTGTAGGGGGAAATAAGTGACATAAGAGTTGAAGGTGGCAGGGGGAAGTTTGGCCACACAGAGGTAGTCCACAGGCCCCACCAGCACCTAAACACTGAAATTAAGATACAAAAAATGACAACAACAAACTGAAGATAACTGTTCTTGGATTAGGACTGTGTAATTATTTTTATAATATCTAAGTGCTGACTTGGAGAAAACTATGCTGTGCAGTTTATCAGACAGTCATGATAATAATTAATAGTGAATGTAGGACTACTATCATTCTACAACTATTTTAATTTTCTAAAACATACCAAAACATATGAAAGAACAGTTCTGCCTTTGATAGACTGGGATTATACTCAGCTGCCCTGGTGACAAGGCTAGAAAAGAAAGGTCGTCTATCAGTGGTGTCACAGAACTCACCAGGTCTTTAAAGCTGGTTTATTTGAACAGGTTTGCCTTCTCCCTTTTTGAAGTCATGTGCACCATTCAGTTTTGCTTTGCAGATCATTTGCTTCTGCTAACTGTTAGTTCCTGCAGATAATGACAAGTGGAAGGATTAAGGTAAATGCAAGACAATGAAAGAAAAAAAGGATGGCACAATTCAGTACATGCAATTCTCACTCGCGGCAGATATACTTGAGGGCAACCAGTTGTTGTTGATTTGCTTTCCCATCTAGACCTAGAATTCTGTGACAAAGTACAAATCATCCTTCCAAGCATACTAATGTTACTTGGGGAAAATATGAATAATTACACGTGAGTCCTAGACACTAAAACTTTTTCATTATTTCCAACAAGATTCCAAAGAGATTTTTCATCCCTTCAACAAATGTAAATGGGATGCAAAAAGGAGGTTACACAAGGACCTGACTATGTAGTGAATCACAAGGAACAATACTGGAAAATATATAGAGCAATATTACTAACCTTATCACAGCCTGAGCTGCAATCCTATTTCTGCCTACATCTGTTTTGAAAGAAATCCTTCAGTGGCCAGCACACAATTATAGATGATTTTTAAAGAGTTACATCCTATGGTTCCATACAATTCACAACCTAATTGGACATTGTCCACTTTGATTTTTCTAATTTTTTGTATCTCTACTTTCAAAAGGCGGAAAGTGGAGCCCAAAGAACTTGTGCTGCCCATGCAAGGACACACTTGAAGTCAAGCCTCAAGCTGAGTTTCCTTGCTCCCCATTCAATACATTCCATGATGCCAGTAGTGTTTTTCTTATTTTTAAAATCAAACTAATTACACCCCAAACAAGAATGAACAATTCTTAAAACATGTAAAAGGACAAAGTAGTTTGGATGTAACAAAATGATCGCTGCATTGTCATCAACTATTGGTATTCTGAGATGGTAAATTTCAATAATTAAACCTGAAATAAACCACTAACATTCCAAAGCTTCCATAAACAAAAACGAAGCTAAGATTAAGGAGAGAAGCCATAGAGCAGCAGTGCTATTGCTGAAATAGCACACTGGCTATGTCTTAATGAGCTGTAAACAGTGGTCATCAGGAATACACAAAGGCTCATCCAAAAAACAAACAAAAAATGGTATATGTTTCAATCAAACAAATTCATTGTAGTAAAAGATTCATTGCCACTAATCTCCCTCAAAATGCTCACCGTTGCTTCAAACACATTTATCCCATCCTTCTTTCCACGTTCTGAAGCAGTTCTGGGAGTCCTCTTTTGTGACAGTCATTATAAGGTGAGATAAAAATGTGAATGCTATTGCTCAGTGCCATCCAACAGCAAGGTACATACAAACACTGTGTGAGTTCTCGTCTGCCTTATTCACCAGCTCTGGCATCCTGCAATTTCTGGCCCCTCTGCAAAGTCAAAACAACTATGGAAAGTAAATATTTTATACTGATTCAGGACATTTAGGCAGCCATGATAGCACAACTAAAATCACTCCTAACAGAACACGTCCAGAAAGCAAGGAGGAATAGTTTGAGGGAGATTAACAGCAATGTATCTTTTACTGTACTAATACTTTCTAATTTAAGCATTCATTATAATTTTTGATCAAACTTCATGTGTGCCTTTAATCATTTGTGTTTTCACCATTGTTTTTTGTTTTGTTTTCTTTTGTCTTATACCAAACTTCGCTAATTTTAGAGTACTATATACTACTTCTTGGAATTATGTAAAGTATTGTATTTAGACATGTTGATTCCACTAATTAGTCTATAAATACTTGACTTTTACCCACTGTTTTGGTGAGATAACTACTGAGGAAAGGCCAAAGCACTTATGGTCAATCAGATGAAGAGAAAGGGAATATGGTCCTTTAGCTGAGTAAAATGTAAAACATTATGTGGCAAAGCAGAAGCTATTAGCAGGATCGATATCTCTCCTAGTACCTTAATAAATCATTACATCAGAAGCTCGACACAGGATGGAGAAAACCTCAGTCTCCTTCCATGTAAACTTCCAAACTGGAAAACAAAATTCCATTTAAATTACAAAGACTTAATTGGTGTACAAAGGATATGACAAGCTACAAAATCTGTCTCCAAGTTCTGGATGTATAAAGAGTTTTGATTCATTAGTGAAGAAAGAAAAGTAGAAAGACAAAGAACACTGTGATTGACTCTCTGGGCTACACATTTATAATTTGCAACTAGTAAATATGCATGAATCTGCTGCACTGTAGCTAGGGATGACATACTGCTTCCTAGAGATAGCACAGAGCAGACAAATCAAAGCAGAGGACGGTTCATCAGGTGCAACCTACTTCCGCCCCTATTTAATAGTTCTCAATCTTTCCAAGTTTCATCCTATTTAAATTACTCTCAACTGGGTACAGTTTCATAAAATAAAAAGTTCTTTTATACTAGAAGATGTTCAATGTATAACAAAAAGCATCCTATGGGGAGCTCTCACAGTACCTGGAGATAGAAATAATCGTAACTTCTTTCTAAACCTTTAATCATTCTCATTCTTTTTGCTGCTCTTAGAAAAACAAGCAAGAAAGTAAAAGAAGATACAGTCCAATTTTCTTTTCTTTTCTTGGTTTTTCTTCTGTTTGTTACAGGATCTTACTATGCAGCTCTGACTCATAGCGATCCTCCTGTTTTCAGCCTCCCCAGAACTGGGATTACAGGAGTACATGACCATACCCGGTCTCAGTGACTGGCTCAGTGCACCCGGGGATGGGGCTGGGATGGCATGTAGGGTTGGGGATCAAACCCCAGTTTCTGTGATTGCCTAAGCCAGCGCTTTGGCTTTTAAACCGTTTTCTTTTCTAATAATATATAGCAAAGGACAGGGTTTTTTAAAGATTTTTAAAGCTGCTGTTCCCTTATTTACTGAGATGACAGTGAATATAAAAACTATTTTGATTTTATAAGTTTGGAATGTTTATTTTTCTTATGAGTGAAAATTATATAGAGCTCTCAAATTTCATAGTAAGTTAAAACAGAACTAAAAGATTATGTTAGAAAATTACCTTAGAAGGGTTAACAAAAAGAAAATAGGGCTCACCAATATCGTGAAATATTCACTCATGACTTTTCCTTTCATTCAACAGCTATCAGACAATAAATATTAGGTTTACAATGGTGATAAACATTAGGATTAGGCTTTTTTTTTTAAACTGGGGATTGAACTCAGGCCCTTGCACTTGCCAGGCAGGATAAGACTTGATGATAATTACCTTAAAGGAAGTTCTCAGAAGTTTCTATGCTCAAGGAGCCTGATAATCTACATGGATATATAAGGCACACATTTCTTAAAAAGTTGAACAGCATTATAAGTTCAACTTATAATACAAAATAACAGAACCATTTATTATTACGTGTCCCAGTACCATATTACAGTATATACAGAAGAAAAGATTTAGTAAGATTTAAAGAAATCTCTGTTGGCAGAGGTTACTGGGATAGCAGCAAAAGAAATGACTGATCAGGCTTTTAGTAGGAAGGGGAGAAAAGACACATATTCCAATCAGGAGAGATACTTGAACCAGAATGTGAAAGAACATGCTAAGCTGGAGAAAGCTCATGCTGCCTGTTAGGCTGAGTCCTACCTCACCAGCCAGGAAGGACAGTGGCTGGATTTTAGGAGTCTCAAGCCAGAAACTTCTCACTTAAGATGAGAGTAAGGATGATACTTATTCCATGTCTAGGGGCTGGAACATGTGGGGAATTGAAATTGCAAAGGAAGGAATTCTCTCTTTAGGAATCCATGCTTCCCTAGTGACCAAGAGGTGCTAGAGATGGGGACTTTGTAAAACAACTCTGAGGTTATCAAAAAGTATGCTTGTCCTAAGAAGTAAATCTCCAAAGGCCCAGGAAGAAAACCACAAGTTCAGGCAAGGGACATCGGGAAGCTGGTTCTTTTAGCAGAAATTCCTCAAAGGAACAGGGATGAGAATAAGTGGCTGGACCTTCCGTCTGCAAGGAGCATGGACAGCAGAGATAAGAGGCATGGTAGCTTAGACACTTTACTTCTAAATAGATTAATTGTCTGCATAACTGGTTAAGGGTATCACTTAGTTCTAGGAACAGCACCCTACTTCACCCATCACTGACCAGAGTAAAATCCCAAGACGTCTTAGAGCTAAATCTGCTAGGCTCCTACAGCTTAAGGAGTTGAGATGAAAGCAGTTCAATTTTCTGCATGGAAGTTAAGAAAACAGGAAGGGCAAGAAATAAGAAATAAGACAATCAGGAGTACAGGGAGTTGCTCTCATTACTAGAACTGATAGTCATTCATACATACACCATCTCTTACCTGAAAAAGTTTAAGCAAATCTAGGTTGAGTGCCCTGCTGCAGGAAATCACAAGAGTTGGTGATACTGAAAAAAGAGCCTATGAATAAAGTTACACAGTGAGATGCTGCTTGGAAAGCAGCTCCCAGTATATTCTGGAAGCTGGGAAAACCCACATGGTGCTGAGCTGTCCAGAAGGCAGCATCTACTGCTTTGGGGAGCTTCACGGAGAAGAAAAAACTTCTTTGCTAGGGAATCAGCTTCGAGGTGACAGCTGCCTTTTCTGCTCCCTCGTAGGCACCACTGGGGCTATGGTCAGTTTTTCAGCATAAAGCCCATCAGCTATTGTGCTGATCATGGAACCCAACTGGCTGGAAGAATTGTGCCGTCTCTAGTCTGAACTATTCCACCGGGTGCCCTTGTTCAAGCAGCAGTTAAGTTGAAAACAATTAGCTAGTGTTCTTTTCTTTAGGCCCACTGATGCTGGGCCAGCTATTGGGCTGGATGGTCTCTCAGGCTGGACTAGGACCTTTGCATAATACTCTGAAAGGTTTCCAGGATAAGTACTGGCATCAAAGATGTCTAGGAGGTTTACTTCTGACCACAGCAAACTAGTTATTTGCTTTGTCACTGCGGTAAGCTGTCATTTCCTTATTTTTGCCTCTGCAGTAGGTAAATATTTCTATAGTAAATAGGCTGGACAACTCAGTCTTTCTCCTTCCTACTCTTCCACCTAAGCAGTAAAGCAAATCATTACAGCAAATTACAGATGAGAAATCAACAAAATATACAGATTGAA